TATAACATCTCATGCTTTCTTAAGTCTTGACTTCTTAAAACTCATTTCTAATTTTGTTTTTTAAATTAGGAAAAAATGCAACCGTAATATGAGTTTGGGCACACACACAACATCTAGACCTTTGATCATTACAGAACATAGCTGGGAAACACTTGCCAAGATACACTGAGTAAGTAGCTTAGGACAAAGTATAAAATCCTGTATAGGTGTTAAGCCAACAAAGGTCTAAAGAGAAAAAAAAATCATGAAACTTGAGTTTTGGTTATAGCCTTTGTTATCAATTATATTCTACAGTGACTTTGGTCCCTCAATTTTTACTTTTTACCCTTCAAATGTAAGTTGGACAGGAGATGTTGAAGCTTAAATATATTAATAAATGAGACATATGTTTCATTTCAGATTCTAACGGAATTATTTTGCAAAAGAATACTGTTTTGAGATAATATTTGTGATTGACATGTTGTGCTGCCCAGATAGTTCGCCTTCCTTTCATTCTGTCTCAACTTTCAGAATCCAGGCACTCAGGAACTTTTCCAGCTATGGAGATGGCTACAAATTGGGCCTCATCCTGGAAACTGATATTCACTCAAAAAGTTTCTAACTCATCCATGTCTAATTTCCTTGTTCTGAAGGCATCTCAAATTCAGGCACAGATGAACTAGGAGATAAAAAGTTGTGGGGCCCTGACTTCAAGACAGGACAACTGTGAAATAACACTAGTTCGCAATTAGAGATCTCTTGTTTTATTGTACCACACTGGTATGTTTTGGCTGCCTTCTTGTTCGTCAAGCCTTACTGGATGCTGTCCTGAGCACAACTCCCAACAAACTAACCTCATGCAAAACCTCTCTTGGTTTTCATTTTAGTGCTTTACTATATTTTTCTTTGCATTAATCTAATCACCTTTACAAAAGCTTTCATTATTTTAATATTATATTTTTTATCTTTTTTACTTCCCACTCTCCTTAATATTCTTCCCTATATTCGATTTCCTTTATTTTATTTAATCTTCTTTCTCCTACATTTTCTTCCATCCGAACCCCTTCTGTTACCTTACACTCACCTTAAATTCTTTGAATTTCATAGCATGCTGAACATTGTTTGCTGTTTGTTTTTTTTTTTTTTTCTTTCCCCCCTTATGGTTAATGGTGATGGAATAGGGAAGTTTAATTACTTTTAAATTTGCTGTTTGTTTTTTTTTTCTTTCCCCCCCTTATGGTTAATGGTGATGGAATAGGGAAGTTTAATTACTTTTAAGTATGCTTCAACATATTGGATTCTGTGTTGTTGTTTTAGCTATTTTTTTTTCTTCTTTCTTGTCTGAAAGGTTCAAGGAACTAAGCTTTCCAGAATAGGTTGCTTTGCTGGAGAGATGGCTCTTATTTAAGATTACTTGATTTGGCAGAGGACCAGTGTTCAGTTCCCAACACCAATGTCAGGTGGCTGAAAATCACTTCTAATTTCAGGTTCAGTGGATCTGACAGGTTCTCTGGTCTTTGCAGTTACCTCCACAGGTACTACCACCTACATGATGATTACACACAACACACACATACAACCAGGTTGCCTCATACAGCCTTAATAGGAAAGGAGGTGCCTAGTCTCACTGCAAATTGATATGCCATGGCTGGTTGACATCCATGGGAGGCCTGCCCTTTTCTGAAGAGAAACTGAATAGGAATGGCTATGGGGTGGTGGTGAAAAGCACTGGGAGGAGAACAGGGAGAAGAAACTGAAGTCAGGATGTTAAAATAAATAAATAAAAGCAAAAGCTTCCAAAACACATTTTTTTTAATTTAATTAATAAGAACAACCCAGCAATCATACTGCGTTATCTTATGCATGAGTGTGCTGATCTGAACTGTATTTTAAAATACAGCTCACTACAGGTCATGTGTAAGCTAAAAGCCCGCCAGGTTACTACACCCTGCTTTCTTGTGGGTTTCTCATTTTGGCTTGAGAAAGAAGCCTTAGAGGAGTGAGATGTTTGATCTAGAAGCCTCTGTTCTTTGTACGTCAGGTGAAAACTCTTGTTTTGTCATTTTTACTAAAAGTATAAATGCTAAAGTGAGGTGCCTTTTATGGTTTTGTTGAAGCCGGCCAATGGTTAATGGCTATTTTCTCCATTTAGAACATGCTACAAAATATTTTTATGGAAAGGCACTTCTAACTCTGTAGTTGGCATTCAATAAATGCCTCCTTTCTTTCTCATATCCCATGTTCTCTATTTAATACGATGTCAATGAAACAACTTTAAAAGTAAACTCTCTCACAAAAAGAAAGAATTTCTGAAGGAAATTTCTAATGACCCGATCGATCCCTAAACCACCTAAAGTTACTTGTGTATTTTCTCCCTTTTCAACTTCTGTGTTCTTTTCTGATACGCTTTGTGTTTAATGGATGAATGCAAGCTGAGAAATGAAAATATGTCTTAAAACTGTCAGAATCAAACATGATTTAGATGCAGTTTTACAGCAAATATTTAATAATCAGATTATATTTCTGGAACCCAGTAGTCCCCAGAGTACTAATAGGTGAGACACAGCACCCTGGTTTCTGATAAGAACTGTGTTCTTAGGGCGTAGGAGTTTTATAGACCATGTGGGTGTCTGCATTTTAACTATTCCACATGACAAATGCTTGCCCTTTCACACAAGTCAATGCCCATATAGTAGCAGACAAAAGCGTATTCAGAATAACTCCCCATCATTCCAGAGAAAGTAAATAAGACTCCATCTTTGTACTCTGCTAGCGCTGCCATCTTTCTCAACAGACATAAATATCACTCGTTTATCTCACTAAATGACAAACTACTTTACTTTGATGATTATGAAATGAGTTTGATCCATATAGACAGAACACAAAATTTGAAATAAATACTGCAAAAGCATCATTGTCTTCTTTAGAAAACCCCTTTGAATATATGGCCCCTGGTTTTATTCTAACAATTTGACACATGCTTTTTGTTTATTTCATTCTTTAAGTATAAACTCCTTATCTCGATTATCTATCAATAGGCTATCAAGTGAACTCAAGCTGGAAATGAAACTCACAATGGTAATATGCACAGGAAGATCCTTTCTGTTCTTCCATCACTATTCTTTATGCTGTTCTCCTAGCTCACTCAACCCGCACAAATCTATTATTCGAAACTGATTTAATCACAATAGAATGAGAGCCAAATGTTCCAAAGGTAAAATAACACACTCATGAGTTGTGGATTTTCAATCTAATACATGTAATCTAGGAGTCACATCCAAAACCTCAGCCCCAAGCATAAACATTTGGTATTATCATTTTATTTTTCTTCCTGTTTCCTTGATGTGTTTGAAATCACTTTTTGCATACATTTAATATGTGGTCTTTATTCTTACCTTTATCATAAACATGAATAAAAACTAAACATCAGTCATTAAAGGGAATATTCAGCAAACTGTGTTTTCTAACCATGTAGCCACTGAAAAGAATGAGGAGTATATAGATGTAGTAGTAGAATGAGAAATTATCCAGGGCATAGTGTTTAGTGAAATGAGCTAGTGACAGCAGTAGATGACAAAGTATCTGGAATTATCTTTGTCAAATTCTGGAGAAAACAACTTAGAAATGAGAAATTAGAAATCCTTCTATTCTATGTGATATTTGTGAATTATTTAAATTTGAATTGCAGATGTTGTTTCAAGCCTATACGCCTCATGCTCCAGGACCAGAGTGAGAACATAAGCTTGAGGCCCACCTATACTACACAGTGAGAAGACCAACTGGAGCTCAGCAGACTCAATAAAGTAACTCAGAAGCATAGAAAGGCCTACTCTTACTTGTGGATCCTAGACTTTACACAGAACATAAAATCATCTACATGTGGCCCGAAAGAGTTTAAGAAGGAGGGCTGGGGGAATAAGTAGGCGAGGACACAGCAGATGCACATGGTCAAATATATAATACATGGAAATAAAAATGCATATCTTTATGCCTTTTGTAATTGCTTATATGCAATTATATATTAAATATATATTAAATATATATTATTAAATATATATTAAATAATAATAAATAATAAATTATTAAATATATATTAAATATATATTAAAATATTAGGTTAAATGTTATATGATTATACTAATGCAGGTTAAACATAATTAATGATAGCATTACTAGGCAGCTATATTATTTATCCAATTTTATTTCTCTAAGTTTGTCTTCCTCATCTATGGAGTTACTAGCATTTCACCTTTCCGTTACTGCATTTAGCCTTTTCTTACCAATGCCTATATTTTTAATGCTTCCACATTACCTTCCTTTATGCCAGCTCTCTAAAGAAAACTGGACACATCTGATTTCCAAGCATAATCCACACAAGAAATATCACAAAATATTTTTTGGGATGGAATCCCATGGCATTTTATTGTCCTTAAAATCACTATGTTGCCATGGATGACCTTGAATATAGGATTCTCTTGTCTCTGAGACTACAGGCATGTATAAGCATATGCAATACACATGTTCTAAGGAGGGAATCTGCCAGGGTTTCGTGTATGCAAAAGAAGCACTCTTACAGTTATTAACATCCCTGAACATACATGGAAAAATGAAACTAAGAATTTTCTATGCTTTACATCAATGAGCTTTAACAAATTTTACATAAGCATGATATGTACTGAATAGTAAGAAATCAGAAAATAATTGAGAACAAATAGTCTCAAAGTTTCTCAATAGAAAACTACAGTTCTTTGGGGAGAAAAAAAGACAGCTTACTAAGACTTGAAAGAAACTATGATTCTCGAATAAGTTTTAGAATGAAGTAAAACCAATACACACATGTGATATACACATACAAACATATATTCAGACATATATACATTTATAGACACACATATGTGTGTACACAGACATGTATGCACGCACAGATAAACAAATATATACGCCCATGTATACACATGCACATATATGCAAAGATTCTCTGTAATACAGAGTTTTTAAAATTCAAGAAATACATGTCTTACCATCGTGAGAGTAAATGGGTGGTTTTCTAATGCTGATACACTGGGACAATGTAGAATAATATACTAAAAAAGCAACAAACAGATAATGTTTTAAATGATCAAAAGAGAAATACAACCATTTCAATAAATCTGTCTAGTAATTATCAAAAGTTACCTAATGATAAAGGATATCTGCATAGCCACTAACCACTGGCTCACCTGGCCTGGTCTTGCTTTAAAGTTTTCTTTGACCATTCTGAGTTCCATGACATCTGAGGGATGATTGATTACTGAGATGATGGTGACAGGTTTGTTGCTCCGGATGCAGCGGTAAAGTCTCTCAGCACAGTATAGGCACAAAGGTCCAGAAATCCAAATCCACGTCTAAGAGAAATTTTTTAATAAGTATGCCTCAAGAAATGCATGACTGTATAGACAACTAAGTAACGATCTATCAATTTATATTTTAAGCAATAAGATATTGGTAAGAATGAGTAAAACAAAGCTGATGCTCTGAGCAATTCATTAAAAAAAAAGACAAGCAAAAACATCATATTTATCTGAGTATTATTTAGAAAATAAAACCAGTCCAATGTTTAGTAAAAAAAACCACAAAAACAAAAACAAAAAAACAGCCGGGTAGTGGTGGTTCGCGCCTTTAATCCCAGCACTTGGGAGGCAGAGGCAGGCGGATCTCTGTGAGTTTGAGCCTGGTCTACAAGAGCTAGTTCCAGGTCAGCCTCCAAATCCACAGAGAAACCCTGTCTCGAAAAACCAAAAAAATAAAAAATAAAAAAATAAAAACAAAAACAAAAAAACAAAAAACATTGCCCTAGATATTTAGATATTTGATAAATATAACATAGGTATATAGATGCACATAGGATTTACATACACAATATTAAATCTCGAGTTTTGAAAGTAGGATGCATTGAACATGTTCCTATTATGACTTTTACATAATACAATATGATGAAATTACATTTATATAAAACTGGCAGTTTTGAATGGGAAATTCAGATAGCTAGGAAAACGATCTTTCCCCTATAACTGCACAGTATAGCCACCCCCCCATCTCTTTAAAGCTTTCAACCTTAACAGAGATGTTTGTTTTGTTTATTTATTTGAGACAGAGCTTCACTGTGTAAGTACATGATGCTTTTGGACTCGTTATCCTACTGCCTGACTCAGCCTCTTGACTATAGGTTTACAGGTGTCTTATTCCATAGAGCTTCATCCTTATTTTAATGGCCCTTTATAGAAAACTTATTTATACAGTTGTTCCAGACATTGCTCATTCATTGTAGACAGTTTGCTACTGCTATGCAAACTGTAACAGTGAATGTGACACTCTGAAAAGGAAGCAGGACAGGTTAAATTCTGCAAATCAGTGAACTTGCAATTTTGAGCCAGTCACTTATAGATGATTAGGCCCCACATCAGTAAAATGGAACATGCCATGTTTAATATGCATCATTATATGACATGCATAAAACGAGCCAGCTGACTCCAAAGTTATCTAGAAATTCATTCTAGCTTTGTTACTTCTCTATCTTCTCTATTTAAGGCAGAATTTCCCAAGTCTACCCCTTCCTCCACTTTATATGCAGAATAGTGGACCTCACTTAGATGTTTTCTCAGCCACAAGGGTAGACATGAGGTGTGTGTTTGTGGGTGTGAGTGGGTAGAAGTTACTGCCGTATTTGTGGAATCCCTGGAGAACTTTTCACGAGCAGTATTTAAGCTAAAGACCTGCACCTACTCACTACTTCCTTCCACCACTTGTTTACAGGCTTTAGCCAGGATACAGGTTTAAGTTCAACTTCTTCAACAAATAATTGAGTAATTGCTTCAAACTTTACTTGTGGATACTTAAAGAAACCATGTGTACACAACAAATCAGTACAGTGCCAAGAAATGGTAGTAAGTTTTCAACAAATATCATCATTATTTATAATTTTAATATTATTTTATAAAACTATATTATAACAATTGGTAGTTGTTTTTGTTTTGTTTTTCAGTTTTTCTTATTCAATCTGCATGCCTCAATAGCTTTATAATATATTTATGTAGTCTTTGGAAGCAAACACTAGAAGGAGCATACTTCAGTCATATTGTATAATGAGACATTTTTCCATATTCTAAATGAATGCTTCTTGCCTTGAAGTATTAGATACCCATCACAAAAAATAAATACCACTTTTCTATCTAAATGGTAACTGAAAACACAGGTTCAGATTCATGTTTAAAAGCAATGTCAGTCACGTGAAATGAAACACTTAGCAGATCTTTTAGACACAGAATTAGTCTGACCTGTGGAAAATGAGCTTGGAACTTAGGCTCTTCCAGGCAAATCTTCACAAGTGTTTTCTGGTTACGAGCTTCTGGTTTTGAAAATCCTTCAGGCAAAGGTCCATGAAAATGTTCTGAGAAGTCTTCTGGTGAGTAAATGTCCTGATCCTGGGTCTGGTTAAGACTGATGCAGCCAGGAGGGTGGGTATCTAAATTGGTTTGATACTTCAACAGCCCACTATGTTAAATTGGATAAAAACGGAGAGATAGAAGAGACTGAGTCAGGGGCTGGAATGGAGTAAAGAGAAGCAATTGTTTCCTTTTCTTGTTGGCTTAAAGCAGCTTTTACATAAAGCAGCCCATGTGTGATGTATTTCAGAATATCTCAAATTTCAAATAAACTCTTTACTAAGAAGTAGGAGAAAACATTTTGTTCTCCAAGCAAATGCTATGTGTGTGCAGTGGAGGAAGGCATGTGCAAGCTTCTTGCTGTTATTTGAATTGGACAAGCTTGACTCCTGTTAGGCATTGGTACAGCCACTTACACATTTTCACTTGAATAAATGCTGTAAAAACAGCTTCCTTGCAATACATCTTCAAGCATAAGAGAAAAACACAGGAATCATATCTGATATGGATAAGACTAGATAAAACAGACTTCATGGTTCACGGAGAAACAGTAAATGAAAATAACAAGCATCAAAGCATATTGCATCTATGAAAACAATTTTTACATACCATTAAGCCCTAAAGCTGTTTGCTTTTCAGTCTCTCTGTAAACACAACCACATGAAAAGCTCACAGTGAACTTAGCTCAAGACGCTTTACAATGGCATCTCATTGTTTCTTGTTTTGCTATATTCTAATTTCTGAGTTTTGAATTTTTCATTCTCTTAGATTTCATTTATTTTAATGTGTGTGTGCATATGCCTGTATTCATATGTGCACTTACACATATGCATGCACACAGACACATGTCATAAGAAGGTTGGAGGCACACACATGTGTCATGAGGAGGCTAGAGGAGAACGGGCAGGAGTCTGTATTTTTCTTCTACAATGAGGGTTCTGGAAATCAAACCCAGCCTGTCAGATTTGGCAACAAGTGCTTTTACTGTCTGAGCCAACACACTGGCCCTAGGTTGTGCCCCTGTTTTCACTGACAAGCAGTGAAAGGAGGAATAAGCAACTGAAAGTTTGTTGGGAAAACTCAATAAAGTAAATATTAGTGAACTGGTAATATAGCTCTGTGGCAGAGGACTCACTTAGAATGGAAATGCTTGAAGATATGGGGTTAATCCCCACCCACCACACCACACACACACACACACACACACACACACACACACACACACACACACACTTAAAAGATCAGCATTCAGTCAATATTAACTGATGATATGTCCAATGAGAAAAGTTAAGAATGATGATGTGTGTAGACCTTTAAACCCCTGAATTCAAGTTATACAGAAGTGAATTTGGGATCTAAAAAGAAGAAACTGGGTGGGAATTCAGCTTTGCCACATCAAAAAGTGCCTTTTTAGAATTAGGCGTTTACTCCTTAGGAACACAGAGATTCAGGAGCCAAAAGTACATTTGAGGTTAATGTATGATAGACACTGGAAAACTTGATTTGATCAACCAAAAGTATACACATGTATCAGAACTCATATCATTATCATAAACATTTTAAACAATTACTATTAGACATTTAAATAGGAAGCAAAATTGTAAAGAAGAAAATTGTTTGGCACTAGGGAAAAAGGGCTAGTTCAAAATATATTTGGAAATTCTACAATTAAAACCTTACAAAATCACATGAAGTAATCAACCCTTTTTGGGTAATATCTATGTAAGCAGAAAAAGTGGCCAAAAAAAATCAAATCACCTCATCTTTGGAGCCAATTTTTTTCTAAAATTTCTTGTCAACATGGATTCATCTATTCCCTGATTTTCTAGTATTCCTGTAAATAAATTATGTTTATAGTTTGAAAACACAGCCTGCGGCTCTTTATTGATCTTTTTTTTAAAAACAAAAATATCAAATCAATTATCTCCTGGGAGACTGAGATCCTCTGGTAGATAGTCCCTCTTTACCTTAAGTATTCAATCCATTGACGGGCAGAGCGTGGGTGCCCATCAAATAGAGATTGTTCTCTGTTAAATAGAAATTTTAACATGCATGCATGAATATTGCTTCAAACAGCTCCATATCCTTCCTATTAGCAAAAGACTGGAGGATGATATTATGTAGGGTTTTCTGTTTGTTTGTTTTGGGGGGATTTCAAGATAGGGTTTCTCTATAGCTTTGGAGGCTGTCCTGGAACTAGCTCTTGTAGACTAGTCTGGTCTCGAACTCACAGAGATCCTCCTGCCTCTGCCTCCTGAGTGATGGGATTAAAGGTGTGTGCCACCATCAACCAGCTATGTAGGATTTTCAAGAGTAAAAATTTGTTTGAATTCCTAGAAATGTCATAATAGATAATTTAAAATAACTTGCCTACATACATGCAATTATGAATTTAAAAGAAACCAAAGAAGTTTTAAACAGTTGCAAAATTTACCAGTTGCCAGTTTCTTCGTGTCAGAAACAGTGTATATTCTAGTAAAAATTGGAGTTAAATGAAAAATATATGTAATATACAATGATTATTGTATTGTAAATATATACAATAATACTCCAGCATTATAAAATTACTTTCATCTCATTATTAATCCAGTTATAAAATAGATTTATTTAATTCTTCTAGAGCTATTCTGTTGGTTATGTATATAATCTAAAATCTTTTTCTTTAAAAACTGTTAAAATTCTTAATATAATCCTGTTTAAAATTAACAATTTTTTGAACTCCTGAACCATAAAAAATATACTGTTTCAACTTGCAAAGGAACTTCTTTTTCAAAATTTTTATTTAATCAAACATGAAGGCAGGGTTCCCCTGCCCTGCTCAGGGACAACTAGAGCCATGGGTCTGCTCACGGGATCCAAATTTAGCCGGCAGGCTCCAGTACATTCAGAGACTGCCAAGGCCACAGTAACAGTCCTGCCTCCATCCATAAGAAGAGGGCTGACAACAAATTATTGGAACTGTTTGCATCTACCAGAAGGGAATCTTGGTCCCATACCCACCAGGAGAGGAAGAGACTCCTGCTACAGCCACCAGCAGAAAGGATGGGAAGAAGACAATATGAAAGCACATTCAACAACAGAAAAACCAATATGACACCACCGGAAACTAGGAACCATACACCAGCAAGACCAGAACATCCCAAACCAGATGAAGCAGAAGAGAATGACCTTAAAAACTCTTCGCGAAAATGATACAGGGCCTCAAAGAGGATATTTGAAAATCCCTTAAAGAAATGGAAGAAAAAACAAATGAAAAAATACAAAAGATCAACAAACATTTCAAGGAAACAGTTCAAGACCTAAAAACTGGCATAGAGACAATAAAGAAAACACAATCTGAGGGAATGCTGGAAATAGAAAAGCTGGATAAACAATCAGGAACAACAGAGGCAACCATAACCAACAGAATACAAGAGATGGAAGAGAGAATCTCAGGAGTTGAAGACACACTAGGAGAATTAGACTCATCAACCAAAGAAACTCTGAAGTCCAACAAATCCCTAACACAAAATATACAGGAAATATGGGATACCGTGAGAAGACCAAACCTAAGAATAATAGGTATAGAAGAAGGTGAAGAAATCCAACTCAAAGGTGCAGAAAAGATACTCAACTAAATCATAGAAGAAAACTTTCCCAACCTAAAGAAAGACATGCCAATGAAAGTAAAAGAAGCCTACAGAACACCAAAAAGACTGGACCAAAAAAAGACCAAAAAAAAAAAAAAAAAAAAACTCTCCTCACTACATAATACTCAAAAAAAAGTCTCCTCACTATACAATACTCAAAACCCCAAACAAACTATAGTGGGAGACTTCAACACCCCACACTCAACACTGGACTGGACAGGAACACCAGACAGAAACTTAACAAAGAAACAAAGGAACTAATAGAAGTTATGGCCCAATTGAGCTTAATAGACATCTATAGAACATTCCATCCAAATACAAAACAATATACCTTCTCAGTGCCACATAGAACCTTCTCTAAAATCGACCACATACTTGGCGATCGACCACATATTTGGCAACATAGGTACAAAAGGTACAAAAAAATTAAAATAACCCCCAGTGTCTTATCAGACCACCATGCCTTGAAGTTAGAATTCAACAACAACAGTAATTGCAGAAAACCTACAAACGCATGGAAATTAAGTAAGGCCCAATTGCACAATTCCAGGGTCAAGGAAGAAATAAAAAAAGAAATTAAAGACTTCCTAGAATTCCATGAGAATGCAGACACAACACATCCGAAATTATGGGACACTTTGAAAGCAGTGCTAAGAGGAAAGTTCATAGCACAAAGTACCCACATGAAGAAACAGGAGAATAATCACAATAGAGAATTAACAGAACAACTGAAAACTCCAGCACACAAAGAAGCCAATACAGCCCGGAGGAGTAGACTCCAGGAAATAATCAAATTGAGGGCTGAAATCAATAAAGTGGAAACTAGGAGGAAAAATACAAAGAATCAATGAAACAAAGAGTTGGTTCTTTGATAAGATCAACAAGATAGACAAACCTTTATCCAAACTTACCAAAAGGGTAGAGAGTGAACATGCAAATTAATTAAATCAGGAATGAAAAGGGGGACATAACAACAGACACAGAGGAAATCCAGAGAATCATCAGATCATACTTCAAAAACCTGTATTCCTCAAAATTCGAAAATCTAAAGGAAATGGACAATTTTCTGGATAGATATCACTCACCAAAATTAAACCAAGAACAGTTAAGCAGTTTAAATCAACCTATAAACCCTAATAAAATAGAAGCAGTCATCAAAATGCTCCCAACCAAAAAAAGCCCAGAGCCAGATGGCTTCACTGCAGAATTCTACCAGAAATTCAAGGTACAGCTAATACCAGTACTCCTCAAATTGCTCCACACCATAGAAGCAGAAGGGTCATTGCCAAACTCTTTCTATGAGGCTTCAATAACCTCGATACCCAAGACAGACAAAGACACAACTAAGAAAGTGAACTACAGACCAATATCCCTCATGAACATTGATGCAAAAATACTCAATAAAATACTGGCAAATCAAATCGAAGAACATATCAGAGAAATCATCCACCATAATCAAGTAGGCTTAATCCCAGGGATGCAAGAATGGTTCGATATATGAAAATCCATCAATGTAATCCACCATAGAAACAGACTGAGGGAAAAAAAACACATGATCATGTCACTGGATGCCAAAAAAGCCTTTGACAAAATCTAACACCCCTTCATGATAAAGGTCTTGGAGAGTTCAGGGATAATAGGAACATAACTAAACATAAAAAAAGCAATATACAGCAAGCCAATAGCCAACATCAAATTAAATGGTGAGAAACTCAATGCAATTCCTCTAAAATCCGGGATAAGACAAGGCTGTCCACTCTCTCCAAATCTCTTCAATATTGTCCTTGAAGTTCTCACTAGAGCAATAAGACAACAAAAGGTGATCAAGGGGATACATATTGGAAAGGAAGAAGTCAAATTTTCACTATTTGCAGATGATACGATAGTCTACATGAGTGATCTGAATATCTCTACCAGGGAACACCTACACCTGATAAACACTTTCAGAAAAGTGGCAGGATACAAGATTAACTCAAAAAAAAAAAAAAAAAAAACTGTAGCCCTACTATATACAGATGATACATTTGTGGAGAAGGAAATCAGAGAAACATCACCCTTTATAATAGCCACAAACAACATAAAATACTTTGGGGTTACGCTAACCAAAAAAGTGAAAGACCTGTACCATAAGAATTTTGACTCTCTAATTAAAGACGATACTAGAAAATGGAAGGATCTCCCATGTTCTTGGAAAGGTAAGATCAGCACAGTAAAAATGGCAATCTTGCCAAATGCAATCTACAGATTCAATGCAATCCCCATCAAAATCCCAACACAATTCTTCACAGACCTTGAAAGAACAATTCTCAATGTTATATGAAGAAACAACAGACCGAGGATAGCCAAAACAACTCTGTACAATAAAGGAAATTCTGGAGGCATCACCATCCCTGACTTCAAGCTCTATTACAGAGCTATAGTCCTGAAAACAGCTTGGTACTGGCAGAAATATAGACAGGTAGACCAATGGAATAGAGTTGAAAACCCCCAGTATTAACCCACACACCTACAAACACTTGATTTTTGACAAAGAAGCTAAATTTATATGATGCAATAAAGAAAGCATCTTCAACAAATGGTGCTGGCAAAACTGGATGCTCAAATGTAGAAGACTGCAGACAGATACATATCTATCACCATACACAAAACTGAAGTCCAACTGTATCAAAGACCTCAACATAAATCTAGCCACACTGATCCTATTAGAAGACAAAGTGGGAAATACCCTTGAATTAATTGGTACAGGAGACTGCTTCCTGAACATTACACCAGTAGCACAGACACTGAGATCAACAATTGATAAATGGGACCTCCTGAAACTGAGAAGCTTCTGTAAGACAACGGACACAGTCAGCAAGACAAAACGACAGCCCACAGACTGGGAGAAGATATTCACCAACCCCATATCCTACAGAGGGCTGATCTCCAAAATATACAAAGAACTCAAGAAGCAAGTCTCCAAAACACCAAACAATCCAATCAAAAAGTGGGGTACAGAACTAAATAGACAATTCTCAATAGAGAAATCTAAAATGGCTGAAAGACACATAAGAAAGTGTTCAACATCCTTAGTCATCATGGAAATTCAAATCAAAACAACTAGGAGATACCATCTTACTCCTGTTAGAATAGCTAAAATCAAAAACACCAAAGATAGTCTATGCTGGAAAGGATGTGGAGAAAGGGGAATACTTCTCCACTGCTGATGGGAGTGCCAACATGTACAGCCACTTTGGAAATCAGTATCACGATTCCTCGGGAAAATGGGAGGATTAGTCTAACATAAGATCCAGCAATCCCACTCTTAGGCATATACCCAAAAGAAGCACATTCATACAACAAGGACATCTGTTTAACAATGTTCATAGCAGCCGTATTTGTAATAGCCAGAACCTGGAAGCAACCTAGATGCCCCTCAACAGAAGAATGAATACAGAAAATGTGATACATTTATACAATGGAGTACTACTCAGCAGAAAAAAATGCAATCTTGAAATTTGCAGGAAAATGGATGGAACCATTCTGAGTGAGCCAACACAATCACAAAAAGACAAATGTGGTCTGTACTCACTCATATGTAGATTTTAGACATAGAGTAAAGGATTACCAGCCTACAATCCACACTGCCAGAGAAGCTAGTAAACAAGCAGGAAACTAAGAGAAACATACATGGTACCCTGGAGAAGGGGAAAGGAACAAGATCTCCTGAGCAAATTGGGAGCAAGGGAGGAGGGGGGAGGGAGCTAGGAGAATGAGAAGGGGAGAAGAGGGGTGATTTAGAGGACATGAGGGAGCAGAAAGGTTGAGTCAGGTGAAGAATAGAAGATAACAAGAATGGAGATACCATAATAGAGGGAGACATTATAGGTTTAAAGAGAAATCAGGCACTAGGCAAATGTCTGGAGATCTACAAAGATGACACCAACTAACAATGTAAGCAACAGAGGAGAGAGGCTACCTTAAATGCCCTCCCATGATCATGATATTGATGACTGTCTTATATGCCATCCTATAGCCTTCATCCAGCAGCTGGTGGATATAGTAGCAGACACCCACAACTAATCACTGAACTGAATGGAATCCAGTTGCAGACAAGAACGAGTGATGAGCAAAGGGGTCCAGACCATGCTGGTGAAACCCACAGAAACAGCTTTCCTGAACAACGGGGAGCTCTTGGTCCCCAGACGGACAGCTGGGATACCAGCATGGGACTGATCCAGACCACAGGAACATGGTTTTCAGTGAGGAGACCTCGGAAATCTACGGGACCTCCAGTAATAGTTCAGTACATATCCCTAGCAGAGTTGTAGACTTTGGGAGCCTAATCCACATAGAAGGATACTCCCTGAGCCAAGACACACACGGGGGGGGGGGGGGGGTGGGGCTTGGCTCTATCCCAAAGGATATGATAGATGCTGATGACCCCCTATGGAAGGCCTCACCCTCCCTGGGGAGCAGAAAGGATATGTGATAGGGTTTTAGTTGGGGAGAGGGTGGTAGGAGAAAAGGAGAGGGAGAGGGAACTGGGATTGACATGTAAAACAATCTTGTTTCTAATTCAAATAAAAATTATAATAATAAAATACCTGAAGGCAAAAATGAATGATTGGTTTTAGCAGTAAATGATCACTTTTTTCTCTTTCCAAGTAGACAGAAAAGGGAGAAAGCAGGGAGATGAGGAACAAGGAAGAGATAATGACAAATTGATTACAGTTCTGAGTAAGGCCACATAAACTATAAAGAAATATTACAATATATATAACATCAAATTCTGATAGATGTGTGATCACAAAAAGGTGTGAGTGTGTTGCTGTAAAAAAAAAAAACAAAGAAAAAACAAAACAAACAAACAATAAAACCAACTTCAAAACGTCTGTGTCTCAATCAAGTTTATATTAATGAAGTAAATTTTGGCAAGTTACTGAATGTTTCTTATTCCACTTACTGCCTTCAAAATATTATCTTCATAAAGTCCTAAGAATTTCATATCAGAAAATATTTGAAACAAGTCGAATTTATATTTTGCGTATTCTAAGTCCCAGATATCAGCTGCTTGAAGGCGAGGTGCTGACTGAACTGAGGGAATTCCTTGTGGAGTCCTGGGCTGCAGGCTCATGCAAATAATCCCCCTAACCACAAATGTTTCCTTTTTGTTGTACATGAGGTGAGAACGCAGATTGGAAGTACAAAATTGTTTTACTTACCCTGAAACATGTAACAGCAGCAGCATGTAGAAGACAAAGAAGAGGTTGTGAGTATACCAGAAGATATCATAATTAGAAACTCTGAAAAAACAAATCAGTTTGTTTCAGTCTGGGTTTACATTTGTCACATGTCAAAGGAACATGAACTTTGAAAACATGTATCATATATGAAGAACACTAAAATGTCAATTGTCTAAGATCCATCTATTGAAATGGTATTAATCACTGCACAGGTGTACCAACAAAACTCATGAGTGATAACTATTTGAAAATTATATATGCTTCTTAATTTAAATAAAGATCATGGTGTATTCTGATTTAGAACTTTACTATCCTTTTTAGTAGCATTTTCTTTTTATTTGTTTGTTTTTTGAGACAGGAACTCTCTATGTTAACTCTGGAACTCACTATGCAGACCAGCTTGGCTTCGAACTCACATTGATTAACCTGTCTATGACTCCTGAATGCTGGAATCAAAGGTTAACTCCACAATTTCAGCTCATACATATTATATATATATATATATATATATATATATATATATATATATCTTAAAATTTTAAATTGCCAAGTAATTTCCATTATAAATAATGTTCTGTTTAAAAAGAATGTTTTGAAAACAGTTAAAGGAAAACTCAAATGGAAAGAAATAAAATTATCACTAAAATCTCAGTACTCTTTCTGCTTTGGTTACTTCTTCCAGCTTTCTACCTTGAGTTTCTGCCTGCCTGACTTTGACAATAGACTGTGATTTGGAATTGTAGACTGAAATAAATCATTTCTTCCCCAAACCATTTTTTTTGGTCATGTTGTTTCATCACAGCAATAAAAAGCCTTTCTAAGACAGAAATTGGTACCAGGAATGGGGTATTTCTGTGAAATAACTGAGCATTTCAAGGGTGGGGATGGAAAAAGTTGTGGAACCATTTGGAATGTTGGGATCAAAAAAAAATTGGATGTTCAGAGTGTACTAAGCTACTATACGAACTTTTATTGCTAAAGACAGTGCAGATAATGTTGGCCTGGCTTATAAAATTTCAGAGGGAATTTTGAGAGTTCCTTAAAGACTCTATTTGATATTTCATATTTGAGACTAAGAATACATGGTTTTGGTCAGCTGGGGTGTAAAATTGGCCTTGATTAAGAAGAGACCACCATTACTGGAAATAAATCCTCTGGGAAATATTTCCTGCAGGACAGAACTTATAAGCCATGGTCCAGAGGTGGCCAAGATCGGGCCAGCAGCTGAATTTGGTAATGTGTAAGGTTCCCAGGTGGTACTGATTTTGGAGGAATGAAGGGGTTATGGAGAGCAGCTGAGTCATGGCACTATTAGAGGCCTGGAGAAGCCATTGGTGAAGGAACAGACTCAATTGGAGTAAAAGCTCCAGAATTGAAGAAATCATGGAAAGGAGCTGAGGGTTGGCATCATGTGACTGGGTCAGAGTCCCTAACTAAACCTCAAGAAAGGAATCTGGTTAAGGTACAGCCCAGGTTGCAGCATTATGGAGATGCTAGAAGCATGGGAAAACCACCAAGGACTGCAGCAGTTGTGTAAGGTAGTATGAGCCTATAAGATAAGCTGCATGATCTGGGGATGGCAGAACCATAGAAGTGGAGCTGTGAAGGCCATGGGAGCCCAGATCATGGGTCTAAGAAGTCTGACACAGAGCTCTACACTGTTGAACATTGATGTTGCTTTGCTCTGATTTGAACTGTGCCCAGGCTCTTCATTTTGGGATAAGAAATTATTTTTGATTTTGTATGAGAAAACAATAAAGATATTTTGGAATTTAAAGGGACTTTGGACATTTTAGAGACTAAAATGTTAAAAACTGTGAATTTTAAAGTTGAAACCATGTTTTATGAGACATTGAAATTAAGGTGAGACCTTGAAGATAAACAATAAAGGAAAGTAATATATTGTGTAATATAGTGGTGTGTCAATTTGAAAAGAGGGCCAGTTGTTGAGCTAGTTTTTTTTTTTTTTTTTCAACTTGACAGAAACTAGAGTTATTGGGAAAACTAACTGTAATTAAGAAAAGGACTCCATCAGATTGCCTGTAGGAAACTCTGCAGGGATATTTTCTTGATTAATGATTGATGATTGATGCCCAACCCACTGTAGGTGGTGTCCATCTTGGGCAAGTAGTAATAAGTTGTACAATAAAGCAGGCAGGGAAATGAGGAGGAGGAGGCCGGTCAGCAGTCCTCCTCCACAGCTGCTGATTGCAAACCTGCTTCCAAGTTCCTGCCTTGAATTCCTATACTCAGGTCCCCTGGTGATGGAGTGTGAAACCTGAGAATTCTAAACAGAAACAAGCCCTTTCCCCCTCAAGTTGCTTTTAGTCATGTGTTTTCTCACAGCAATAGAAACCCTAACTAAGAGAGTGTTATTGTTCTAGAGGACAGAAAATAAAATAATAAGCATCATTTGTTGAATATATGTGAGAAGCACATAGATTTATTTTATTCATGAGTTTAGGGCAAATATTTACTAAGTAAATATTAGAGGTAGAGGGTAGACATTTGTGAGAGCTCTTTTAATGAATCTAATATATACCCTAACAACTTCTAGAAATCCTCTTTAATTAATAGTTAATTGTTTTCCATTTACTTAATTTCTTTTCTTTTTTTTTTTGGTTTTTCGAGACAGGGTTTCTTTGTGTAGCTTTGGAGCCTATCCTGGCACTCACTCTGGAGACCAGGCTGGCCTCGAACTCACAGAGATCCACCTGGCTTTGCCTCCTGAGTGCTGGGATTAAAAGCGTGGGCCACCAACACCCTGCCCATTTACTTAATTTTTAGCATGTGCTTTGACAATGTCACAAAAATCTTCATAATATGAATGTGCATATCTAATTTTCTTTTTTCTCTAGGTCAAATATTAATACTATCAGTAATTGTCTAATGCTGACTAAAAGTAAGTTTATCAATTTCAGACTCAACCACAGTGAAGAATTGCCTATTTTCCCAAACCTAGTCTTTATAATTTAGTTTCTATAGGAAGCTCAAAAATACACTTACCTTTAGAGCCAATTATTTTACATCTAAAAATATGTCCATAGGACAGAGTTGAAAATGTATGTAAACATACAAATATGGCACTTGTTTCAGAATTTAGCATTTAAAACCTTAAGTTAACCCCAAAACTCAACATGAATGAGTCTTAGAAAATAATATATATGTATATGGTGACAGAAAAATAAGATATGTTAACATGGAAATTACGTAAAACATTTATGTGAAGCAGAGTAATCTTGGTGGGATGGCATATAGTAAACAATAGCAAGGGGCTTTGTCTATAAAAATAAAACACAGTGTGGCAGAACTAAACTTCTGTGAAGATTGGGTGGTGAGTGTGATTATGAGTAGATATGTATAGATGTATAAAAACAGAATCATTTGAAAATATTATTTTCAAATTATATTTAAAATGCATACACATTTGTTCATTAATATTCATATTTCAGTCAATAAAATAATAAAAAATTTTAAGCTATAAGAACTGTTGGGTTTTTTTTCTCTTTTGCTTTATTTAAGCAAAAAGTTCAGTGTGATATGTGAGATACTTCTATTCTGAAATGGTATGTGCTCACCTAGAAAAAAGACATGAAAGTGCCACTGATATATATTTAACACTTTTCAAGCTAATTAATTAATTTATTTGTTTGTTAATTTATTTTGGTGTATGTGTGTGTGTTTGTAAATACATGTACCCATGGACACACTTGTCTGTCCAGAAAGCCCCAGTTATCCATCTGTCTACAGTTATCTCCTCCCCAGTACTGGGATGATAGATATACACTATGGCTAATTTGTACATTGATAATATGAGTTTTCACTCAAAACCTCAGGCTTGTGTGGCAAGCGCTTTCCCAACTGGGTCATCTCCCAAGCCCCATCCAAACATTTTAACTAAAAAACTCAATGTGAGTCAGAGTGTTTCTAAACATTTTAGCATGCAGAAATTTTGTTTCAGTGGCTTTATTTATAATACTATTTTATATAATAGTAAAAAAAACTATCAACAGGTATAGTAAAAGACAAAAACTATCACTAAGTAATAAGATGTAAAATATTTTTTAAGCATATATTCCCATGGACATGTGGTCAAATTCAATCCCATATCCAATTGTGTTTAATATGAAAGATCCTCAAGAATTCTATTTCCCTTGGTATTCAACAGAAATATTATTCCTTATGACCAAAGACTGTAATTTTCCAAAATAGAAATGAAATATAGAAATGACTCTGCTTCAACTGTGACAACCCACAATAACCCACTAACTACAATGTATCAATACTTTAGTCATCCAAGACTTTTTCTATTTGTACGGAAATGAGTATAAAGGAAAGCTGGACAACATGGACAGGTGAAAACAAAATGGTCACTCTGACACTTACCTTATTGCATAGGTAGAAGCTGTAACCATGAGGAACAGTACCACCACCATGCAGACACCCGTCAGACCCGGAACTGTAAAGTATTTACAAGTATGTTTTAACTTAATTCATACTGGGAAGAAAGACCAAGAATTGTCTTTGAAGTCTAAAGTTTAGTACGCTTCTCAGTGGAAAGCAAATTCAAATTGTATTTCTCTGTTCATACATGCCCTCAAACAATCTGTTAAGAAAATCAGCACAGTCTCAATGTATTTCAGCCTTTTGTTCCTTTCGTAGAAGAGTCCATTCTTGCATTGCCTAATGCTCCACTCACAATGGTGAATGCATACTTGCACATACATACTCTACCAAATGAGATTAATGAATGCTAGAGCAGTTAGTTTCTATGACTTCCACCACAGTACTCTCTTCCTTGTACTGAACTAGCACCTCCCTTCTGTCTCACTTTCAAGTAATGTTTTTGGACTTCACTACTAGAATTAATTTATTGTTAGTTCTTTGAGAATTTCGTACTGTGTGTTTTCATCATATTCACTCTCCACCCCTACTCTTCTGGACTCACTGTTTCCTCGCCCACCCAATTTTGTGTCCACTCTTCTTTTCTTACCTTTTCCCCAACAAGGACAATTTGTTCTACCCAAATATTCTTTGATCTGTGATCGTCTAGTGGAATGTGGTTGATTTATCAGGGACTACTTTTTTAGAGAAAATTGATCCTTCCTTTCCCAACAGCAAAGAATTGCCAATATCTACTTGGCTAGGGGTGGAATTTCGTGCCCAACTCCCCTCTGCATGCTAGGATTTGGCCTATTTTAGGCTTGCTCATGTCTTGACCATGCTGTTACAACTGCTGTGAGTTCATCTGTGCAGCTGCCTTGCTGAACCCAGATGACACTGCTTTCTTGTACTTGTCCACCTCTTCTAACTCTTAGCAGTGATCCCTGGGTCTTTTGGGGGTAATACTTTTAGGGAAAATTATGTTTAATTAAAGCTGCCATGGATTACTATAGCTCTTCATCTGGAAGTAAGATTTCCCTCACTCACATTGGCATGTCATTATATCAATCGTGCTCAGGCAATCATAGTATAGCGGTTTAATGGATGCAGCTTTCCAGTTATGTATAGAAGACAGGATCTTGAAACAAATGTTTGGGCCCTCTGGCTCTTATAGTCTGGGTTCCCGTCTTCTACAATATGTCCTAACTATGCTTGTATTTGAAGAAAGCTTCTAGATATAATTTCTCTTCATATCTAAAACACTGTAGGGAATGTGAGATAGCTCATGAGGTAAAGGTGTTTGCCATCAACCTTGACAATTTGAGTTTCATGCCCATATTTCACACAGTGAAAGGAGAAAACCAACTCCCACAAGTTTTCCTCTGATCTACACCCCTCACATACAAATAATGTCTACAAAACATAAAACCAATGATCTGATATAGTATAAAATTCATTTGACAAAAAAATGAAAGCTGCAGACATGTTAAAATTAATGATATTTTATAGGCACAAATTTAGCATTAGATAATATCTAAGCTAAATGTAAATAGACCCCTTACTATGTTATTACAATTAGAAAATAATGATATCAGAATACTCTCTATGGTAGAAACAAACATCACTTTAAAGAGTCGCATTAAAAACAAGGGATCTAATTTTTGGCACTTTAAGGTTTGAGTCGTTTTCTTTCTTTCTTTCTTTCTTTCTTTCTTTCTTTCTTTCTTTCTTTCTTTCTTTTTCCGAGACAGGGTTTCTCTGTGTAGCTTTGGAGCCTATCCTGGCACTCACTCTGGAGACCAGGCTGGCCTCGAACTCACAGAGATCTGCCTGCCTCTACCTCCCGAGTGCTGGGATTAACGGTGTGTGCCACCAACACCGGGCGAGTCCTTTTCTAAATCCATGGACTTAGCACCATCAGAAAGCATACCCTCGCCTGATGCTCCTAATCCAAAGCATATCTTCTGTGTAGTATTTTCCTATAGTATTCATTTCACAGCACCTTTTCCATTTCCTCTAGGTAAGTGATAGCTAGCGTCCCAGCCACATGGGAAGAAATCAATCCAACTCACACTGAAGGGCAGACAATAGACTATTTAAAATCAACATCCCTATTTGATTGGCCTCTTCCAAAGTAGCTACTCAAAGAAACAAGCATATACCAACCCAAACACTCTGCTGAGAATATTCATGGCTGTTTTTAATAGTCATGGAATATAGATACATTAACATCAACAGGTACATAGAGGATTGTACATGTCTGGAAAATTAATAAGCAGTTAAATAGGAACTATTGATGGGTTAAATATTAAGATAGATTATTAGATTGAGTGGAAAAGGCCAAGTTTTTCACCTAATAAAATATAGAAATAAGCTGATTAATTTTATATAAAAGTCTAGAATTTTCATGTTATCTTTTAGTTATGAAAACCAGCAAGTTACTCAAAGGCACAGAAGGTAATAAGAATAATTGAGGGCCATATTTTGGAGCAGGGTAATAAAAACATTTGAAGTCTTGATTTTGATAAAAACTAATATATACATATATTAAAGCCAATCAAATAGTGTGTTGTCCATATTTGTGTATTCAGAGAATGTTAGTCAAGTGTGGAAAGATTTAAGAAACAAACAACAAAAACTTCTACTTGATCCTTAAAAGCCATATAAATGTTAGAATCCATGATTATTACACACTATAAACTTTGAGATCAGATGGACTTCCCCAATAATTTCACTATGTTTTCATTAATTATTTTGGTGGGAATGTTTCATATGCTATTATGGACCTGCCAAAAATCAGTGAGTATCTGTCTACAAACCATCTTAATGGAAGGAAACCTAAAAAATGGGTGAGTTTGGAGTAGACCCACCGTTTTCCATTTCCTTAAGATATTCACTGCTGTTACTCAAAAGGGTCGTAAGCATAATTTGAAGAGCCACGAGTCATGTTAGTGTAATAGAGCATCTCAAAAGAGCTATAATCAAAAATGCACTGAGCTCACATACTTTTTCACATTGATTAGAGAATTTCCTCAATGAAGCAGAACATGGCAAATGTGTAGGGAAAGCTTGGAAAGAGGGGAAGAGATCATAGCTGGCTCAACTCCTGTCATTAGAAGATGAAAGAGAAGTCCATGAGCACCCAACCAATGTTAAAAATGGCCTGACATTATGGTCTTGTAATGATTCCTCTGGCAAAGCCATATCTTTCTTTCTTTTTTTTTGATATATTATCTTTTTATCTAAAATTTGTTGTTGCTTTTATCTGTATATCCAAATTATTTTTACATTTTTTAAACCCAGTATATAACATATTGGGTTTCATTATGACATTTGCATTCATACTTTGTTCCTGTTGAATCTGCTCCCTTTTTCCTCGTTCTCCTCCTTCAGGTCCCTTAAGCTCACACAGCTGCTCAATTCTGCTTCCATGTCAAGCACTTTGTAATACTTTCTTTTTCCCATTCTACCACTTAGGATTCCAATCCTCCATCCATGATTTCCTTTGGGTTTCATGATCTATATCTACACCCCTCCAAACACACACACACATACACACACAAATTAAACTAGGATTTGGCTGTCAGAAAAAACACACAGACCCTGGCTTATTTTGCTTAAAATAACTTTAAGTTCCACATATTTTCTATTGATGTCATGATTTTATTTTTTCTTCAAAGATGAATAAAATTCAATCACAGGTATGTATCACATTATTTCTTCAGCTGTTCATCTTGGCTGGTTTAATTTCTTAGCTGCTGTGAGTAATGCAGCAAAGAACATAGATGTGCAAAATTCTGTCTCTCAAAATGATTAAGAGTCCATGTAGTTCAGATGGAGTACGAAGCTCAGTCAAAGACTGTTTGCCTAGAACGTGCAAGACCTGGACTCAATCCCACAAGACTGACTGCTGGTCTAAATTTACAAAGTACATTATTTCATTTAGGTAACTAAATAAGAAAAATATATAATAGGTAAAGAAAACCAAGACCTGTTGTAATTAGAATGACTGAAAAAGTAAATGTTGAGACTACATTAAAGAAATGCCAGGTCCTAGGTTATGTAACTAAACAGGCAAAATTTGGCTGTGTTACTCTATGGGGTGTTATGTACATTGCTGCATCAAACTAAAGAGATAAACAAGTGGCTTTTGGGTTCAGCTAATTATCAGTGGATATTTAAAGTGTATCATTAGGTGTTTGATATAAAATGAAGCTGGTGTAAAAAAAAGGAAATCTTGGTTCAGTGGTAGATCCCAGAGGATAAAACAACATAGAAATTACAGCATAGGGTACTCTAAGTGATAAACACTCAATCATCCCTGAAACATTGAATGGCCTGTAACATACTCTTGGCTAGCAACTAAGCTAATCCATTAACCACTTGTGAACACAAATCCAAAACAGAGAAAAGGCACTAGTCCAGTTGCATAAACTTGCTTACATGAGCTATACCTATTTATCTGAAATAACTTGAGCCTCTCAAATGAGAAAGCCAAACATATATCTGTAATTTGTTGAGAAATAATATTGGTACATGTTTCCTTATTTATATCTGCTCATTTGAAGATGTTTAATTAGCAACCTTTACAATACATAATTGTATAATACTGCCCATTCTGAATGACCTCCAGTGAATTTTCTTTAAAAGAAACAATAGCCGGGCATTGGTGGCACACGCCTTTAATCCCAGCACTTGGGAGGCAGAGGCAGGTGGATCTCTGTGAGTTTGAGGCCAGCCTGGTCTCCAGAGCGAGTGCCAGGATAGGCTCCAAAGCTACACAGAGAAACCCTGTCTTGAAAAAAGAAAGAAAGAAAAGAAACAATAAAACGCATATGGAAACTGTAATACAGCTCCAAAACATGTTATTTTAATGACTTTCTCAATTATGGGTTTTAAAATCTTATCTTGCTTATCAGTTTCAGATAACTCAGTTATCAGAACTGCACTAGCACCAATGGTCTGATGTTTCCCCACTATACTTTGAGAGCAGGTACCCAGGACATGTAAATTACAACACCAGCTACAGCCTCAATTCAAAGCAGTCCTTGCCGAGGCATGAGGGTTCTCTTTTCTTTCAAAGAACTAAGGGAGCAGGAAGGTTGTGTAGTGGGAAGAATAGAGGAGAGCAAAATAAGAGATACCATAAGACAGGGAGCCAGTATAGGTTTAAAGAGAAATCAGGCACTAGGGAAATGTCCAGAGATCTACAAGAATGACACCATCTAATCATCAAAGCAACAGTGGAGAGGTTACCTTAAATGCCCACCCTGATAATGAGATTGATGACTAATTTATATGCCATCCTAGAACCTTCATCCAGAAGCTGATGGAAGTAGAAGCAGATACCCACAGCTAAACACTGAACTGAACTGGAATCCAGTTGCAGAGAAGGAGGAGTAATAAGCAAAGGAGTCAAGACCAGACTGGTGAAACCCACAGAAACAGATGACCTGAACAAGGGGGAGCTCTTGGCCCCCAGACTGATCACTGGGAAACCAGCATGGAACTGATCCAGACCCCATGAACATGGGTGTCAGTGAGGAGGCCTCGGAAATCTATGGGGCCTCTTGTAGTAGATCAGTACTTATCTCTATCATAGGAATGGACTTTGGGAGCCCATTTCACATAGAGGGTTACTCTCTCAGCCTAGACACACGGGAGAGGGCCTAGGCTCTATCCCAAATGATATAACAGACTCTGAAGACCCAGGCCCCCGGAAGGCCTCCCTCTCTCTGGGGAGCAGAAATGGTATGGGGCAGGTAGGGTGTTAGTGGGGGCAAGGGAGGAAGGAAGGGAGAGGGAACTGGGATTTACATGTAAAACAATGTTGTTTCTAATTTAAATTAAAAAATGGAGAAAAAAATAACTTGGCAGAGAATGTACACCCAACCAATGTCACTATTTCTTTTACTCTCTATTTATTTGAGCTCCAAACTATCTGTTTTTATCCCTCAGTTGGCACTGTATCATCATAGCTAAATTATTAACATCACTTATAGAACGTTGTAATTTACCATTAATCAACTATTGTGTAATTGGACTATGCTTATATCCAACTAATTTGCTTGTGAATCTAATGAAAAACAATGAATAATAACTTACCAGTGGTGAAGAGAAGCTTTCTAGGATCCTGAGAAAGAAAAGAATAAAACATTTGACTGGAAAATAAAATGCTAAAGGCATAAACCTATGCAAGAAATTTACAAGGTATATTTCTGTGTATTAAGAATTAGGGCACTGCTCTACCAGTGTGAGTAACAGACTTGGTTAAGACTCTGGACATGTTTTTATTATAAAAAGCAAAACCAGAGAAGTCTTCCCACCTGAGAAAAGGAAAGTACTGGGTAAGGTAGAAGGGCTGACCATTGATCTGATTAGAGACTGTTTGTAATGTTTATTCTTCAATGACTTTAAGACTCAATAGCTTAAGCTATAATACAAAATTAAATATATAGTATTGTCTCATTATGTTGCGTTGTCAGAAGATTGTAAGCTTAGAAATTCATTATTGTTCTGACTCTACAACTAAGGTAACTTTTAAATACATTGTGTTCAATACTGAACACAATTTTTAATTCTAAAAACACAGACTGGTCATGGTGGCCCATGCCTTTAATCCCAGCACTCAGGAAGTCAAAAGCTGGTGGATCTCTGTGAGTTGGAGGTCAGCCTAATCTACGAATTGAGCTATGGGACAACCAGGGCTACACATAGAAATCCTGCCTCACCACCCCCTGTCCCTCCCACACACATGACTAAATAACAAAGAGACTTGAATATTGGACAACTACAAATTAATAGATAATATGAATATAGGAAAACTAGGTGCTGGAGAGGTGGTTGGGGGTTAAGAGCACTGGCTGCTCTTCCAGAGGACCAGAGTTCATTCTCAGCACCCATATTGGGGCTCACAGCTATCTGTAGCTCCATTCGCTATGATCACACAGACATACATGCAGGCAAAACACCACTGCACACAAAATGAAAATAAATAAATCATTAAAGAAAGAAAATAGGAAAACTAATATAGGTGTTAAAGAAGTATATAGAAAGAGGAGCATAAAAGGCGATGCTACACAAATGAAACTGTAGTGGGACTGGAAAGAAGTAACCATTAGTAATGTGGGAAAGGCTAGAGAATAGCTCAGGGAGAGGAGAGAAACAGAACTGAGTGTGAAATCACAACATGTGGAGAGCTGGTACTTGACAAGCTAGTAAGCTAGGTTGTCCAGTGACTCTCAGTGCTTTATGCAGCAAATAATCACCTGGTGATCCTTTTAAAAATAGCAATGCCCATGCCCTATTCACACTAATCAAATCATACTCATGTTTACAGATGATCCTAGAGGTAAGAGATTTATCAAAAGTCATTTGAGGTATTCATTATTTATTATTGTTTTGTCAATTGTTTCCTTTTAAGAAGACAATCAAACATATGATAGCAGTGTTGGTTGCGAAAGCCCTAATGGTATGTAGAACAGAAAATAGAGTCTGGAATGAGGGGAACATTTACTGAGAGGTTAAGTCACTGTCATTCATCATTAAAAGGCTGTCAGACAGAAGATTTCAGCTTGGTTTCAGACATGACTTCTGGAAGCAATGACTCTCTGAAGACGATGTGAAAATACCAAGCCACAGAGATCTAACCAGGGGTGGACATGTGCCGTGCATCTGAGGCTGGCTCAACACATACAGCCTCATGAACAAAAGAGAGATCACATGGAAGAACAGCATCTCTAAGTCAGATATCAGATGCTAGGAAATTCAACCCCAGGTCATCTATTTCATGGAAACAAAGGAATCATAAAAACACACTATCATTTTAAGTCAAATAAATTCATTACTTAGTATCCACAAATAATCAACCTACAGCTGTGTCCTTCCCCCGCCCCCCAGCACAGTAAGTGAGTCATTAAAGTATTTTTACCTGAGATTGGCACTGTCGACACTCTCAGCTAAATAAGAGGAATTAGACAAAAGCTGTCGGGAGTCAGAAAGTAGATCTGAGTGGCAACCTTCTGAACATTGCAGGATATAAAAAGTAGACACTGCAAACTCCCATTTTCAGCAGGAGAAACTATAGAATAGTAATTACCTGCAATTTCTATTGAAAGGGAATAAAACTCAACTTGACAACTGCATTTTAAAAGCACTCAAAGGAGCAGCAAGGTACAAATTTTCTGTAAAAATCACAGACCCTCATTACTTATCTAACGACAAGTGAAAGGAAAATGGAAAGGCAGGGACCACCCACCTCATTTTGGTATCTTGCTGCATTCAATTCAAGGAAATTTTCACTATAGTTCACTGAGAAGTTGAGGGCATTCATCAAGTGGGCAGCCACATGCACACCTATGGAAGCACACGAGGTACAAGTCAGTGGTCTTTGCACACATGCTCTTTGGCTAGAAGCCAACAGTTCTTCACAAACAATAAAGTATTTAAGGATCAAACTCCAATAGCTATCTAAGCAATGACATGTTAGATTGAAATTATTCTAAAACACAAAATAAAAATCACCTGAATGTAGTTAACTCAAATTTTAAAAGGTAGAGCAAAATAACCATAGTAATTTAGGTTAAGATCTAGAGAAGAATCACAGTCAGTGTCTCTGATCTCTCTCCCTTGGCCCACCTCCTGCTCCCTTGCTTTCTGACATTCTGTGTCTACCAATACACAAATACAATTCTTTACTAAATTGGTTCCTGGATATCTTTGTGTTGCACATCCTTCATCTTCCCCATTGCTCCAGCCAACTCGATCTTATATACTCCACTGTCATCCATCCCCAAATCTTAGCCTACTTAACAGCTTTTAACCACCTGTTGTTTTTCCACAATCAATAGATAATTCTTTAAGCTCAACAGTAATGTATTGAGAGGCATACTATGGAAGAAAAACTAGGGAAAACCCCTTGACAAACACTCCACGTATAATGGCACTGTGAACACAGTGCTTACCTAACTCTGAGACCATAGAAAAGATGCATGTGTGAGGAAATTACAAGGGGTTTGAGACAAGTAAATTTTGCAATAGCTAGGGAAGAAAATTTTCTCAAGGGAGGCAAACAGGGAGCAAATAATCTGTTCAATGAGGCCGCCATGCCACTTCCTTCCCCAATCTGTTTTTGTGTTAAGTGAAGTATAAATTAACATTCTATGTAATGCATTAACTAAAGAAACTCTATAGCTTTTGCCCCATGACCCATCTACTCATCTTAAATTTATCTGTAAAAGGACACAGATAGAAAAGAAAGACATAAATGTTCTGTGATTGCTAGTAAACCATTCCAATTGGAAATAAAATATGAAGTTTATTGGTTCAAATGAAAACATGGCCTGGAAACTAGAAAAGCCTCCAATCACTGAAACTTAGACTATAAAATACAGAAACACCAAGAACTATGGATTACCCACAAAGATCAATAAAGGCAAGGAGACTCAGAATGCCAAATATCCTAGAAGATTATTTGTATGGCTTATAAGTCAGGCAATCAAGTAGGGCAGGAAGAAAGAGTGGCATTAAAAGCAGCAAGGTTCACAAATTACTGTGAAGTTACAGTACTCGGAAGAGTGTGTTCCTGACAGAAAACATACAAATGGAACAATAGAATAGAGGATCTATAAGTCAACTGAAATAATGTTTTTACAAGGAGCAGAGACAACAAATTGAGGAAAAATAGGTTTTCACAAATGGTTCTGGAAAAACTGAATATTAAGCCCATAAAAAAAATCAACACACACTAATGCCTTGAAATGCTCCCCTTGTTTGGTTTTTCCTGCAGTTTCAGGGTTATACTCTTTAAAGATTTTAATTTATTTGTTAGTATTGTGTATATCTGCATGAGTATATGCACAATTGTTGTGTATGAACAAGTGAACACAGAGTCCATAAGATGGTTCTAGATCCCTTGGAGCTGGAATTACTGGCTTTTGTGAGCTACCAAATGTGGATCTGAACTCCAGTCCTCATGATTGGGCAGCACTCTTAAATGGGGGGCCAACTTTCTAATGCTCATATCTTTCCACCTAAATTTAAAATCTTTGATCTCCTTTTGAATTGATTCTTATTTGTAGTGAGAGTTACATGAAGATCCAGTACAGGAAAGATTCAAAGAATGAGAATACAAGATGTAGACTGAGCAAAACCATTTTTAAAATACAAAGGCCTGAGAAGGGACTCTTTTGTTTGTTTGGTTTTGTTTTGTTTTTTCAAGACAGGGTTTTTCTGCATAGCCCTGGATGCCCTGGACCTCTCTGTGTAGATCAGGTTGGTCTCCAACTCAGAAAGCAACCTGCTTCTGACTCAAATGCTGTAATTAAAGGTGTGAACTACTTAAAACAATAATTTAAAAATTTATCTGATTAAAAGATTAGTCAAAGGTCTTAACAGATACCTCACAAAAGGAGATATGTAAATAATAAATGAGCATAGGAAAATGTTTCACAATTGTATCATGAACTGCAGTCATGTAAATCGCATACATAAAAGAATGGCTGAAATCTAGAACAAATTGAACTGGGATGGGAATGTAAAAAATAAATTAATAAAAAAAACAATTTAAAAAAGGAATTCTGTTTCACTGGTGGTGGGATAGCCTCTTTGGGTGATAAAATTCAACTTATCTTCCTCTCACACTTAGCCTAAGAACTTAAAACCCTGTATTCATAAAATACTCATATGACATATACACCGGAGACAGAGACTGATGCAAAGACAGAGGAAGGGTGGAAGAGAAGGAGAGGGAGACAGAGACAAAGGCAGAGACACACACAGAATATTTTACAGCAACTTAATACATAAGTGACAAAGACTGGAAGCAACCAGGATATAGGTGAGTGAATGAATGAACTGTAGTTCATCTGGACAGTGAAACAAATACCAGCCAACCCTGAAATGATATGAGCCATTAAGTAATAAAAATACTGGAAGGAACTGAAAATTATATTATTTAGTGAACAGGGAAAATTAGGCAAAAAAAAGAAAACAAAAAAGAGGAACAGGAAAAGGATAGTGTCATAGAAAAGAAGAGAAAGACAAACTGGCAAAACACTGAGTATGTTTAGAACAGTGGAACTATTGAATATGATACTATATTGGTGGGTACATGGCACTATATACAAGCACAAACCCATAGCACATTGTATATAAATGTTCAAGATTAAAACTTAAAAATTTCTCACTGTACATTTGCTAACATGAAATGAGTCAAGATAAAATTACACATATTTGAAATCTATTCTTCTACCCAATTACCAATATAAAAAAATTCATGCCAAATATATCTTGAGCTAGAATCATATTTTTAAATGAAAATCTCACATTCTAATTTTCATTCACATTAGGTCACACAAAATTACTTTTACACTTGGAAATGTTTTGTCTTCTATTTTAAACTTTATAAATGAAACTATTTACTATTATAAGAAAGTCACTATGACCTTGGGTCCAGCATCGGGACATCATAATGCAAAATGCCATAAGAAACTCCCATGTTCTGTAGTTCCCTTCAGAACTTTCTCCCAATTCACAAAAGCGTGACTACCTATATAGAAAATCAGCAAATAAGCTCATGGTAGGTGAGAACATACAGAAGAAAATCAAATATTCTCCATTGGTAAAATGTTCAATTCTAATACATTCATGCTTTTCAGCTTTCTCACCTGAAAAAACACAGATAGTTATGCCACAGGTTATGTGCAACGTCTTACTTTTATCCAATAATCTTCTTGTTCTCCTGCTTGGAACCTAAATAAAAATGAATAAATACAACCAGTCAAAATATGTACACATTTTTTTCATTACATCATTGCTAATATCATCAAAAAATGTAAACACGACACAAGTCTGTTAGTCAAGACTGAGAGAATTATGACATAATTATTCACTGAAGCCATTCAAATGAATGTGAGAAGGTATGTTATTGATTTGAAAAAAATGAAAAACATAGTGTTAGATAGAAATATTAGAGACTACATTGTGATCTTATGTTGTTCAAAGCAAATATCACCGTATTCAAACGCTTTTGCTAGCATTTGTCCCCAAATTTCATCAGCAGGTGAAACTGTCTGATAGCCTGACCTATTTTTAAATGTTTAAATTTGATAGAACATATGCTTTCCTTTGTGTTGCAAATATAAGGTTATTTTCAAGTCAGAGCAATCACATCTGTGGTTTTAAATACCTTCTTGATCTTGTAGAAAAATAGTTACTAAGAATCTTTGAATATCTGTGCTTCATACTGTGCAGCAACTTCTTAAGGGTATTACCTACTGAAAAATCTGGGAGGGAACTTTTTACTTCCTGCCACTTATATTCCTTTCTTCATATCAAGCCAGAGGCCAGAGGGATCAAATCCTAACATTTAAGAATCTTGGCAACCTAGGGTATGTTATTTCAATAAATATCCGCATTAAGATTAAAGCCTTTCTGAATACAATTACCTGGAAAAAAAAAAAACTGAGAAGTTTTGATTGAGTAAATCAACATTGCACTTCACAGATCTCTGAAAACAACCTCTGAGAACATAATTATCTATCAGTGCATCCCTGATTTTAAAGGTGAAGAATCAACACATGCATGCAAACGTATGCATGCTCACACATATGCTAAAGACTAATCAAAGACAAAAAAAAAACTGTAGCTGAGTTCTTAAAAAAATGACAAAGCATTTGCTTCTTCCCTCTCTCATTTTGCAACAGCAAACACTATAGGTAAGGATCACTGTTCAATAAAGGCATTGATCTAAGCCTCTTGCATAGCTCAAAAGGAGCCACAAGTGTGAAGCAATGAAAAATTGCACGTACTAGCGTACTAGCAATCATCCCATGCAATACTCAAGGGCCACAGGACTGTGGTTTGCTCGCCTGAATTTTTGTTAAGTGGAAAGTTAGAGCTCGGTGAGGTCTGATACAGTAGGAAAGAGCTCAGAACTGGAATTAACTTTTGCTCTGTCAGTCACTCATTTCTCATTTTGGTCAGGCTATACCCTCTACACCTCAGGTTCTCAAGCTTAAAATAGATCGGCAGTATCTGATTGTAGAATTGTTAGGAGTCAGGAGAGTTGTGAAGTACTGAAACTAGCATCTGAAAGCATGGTGGGTGATATGTCTGCACGTCCTGGACTAGCTTTGCAGATTAGTTTTCTGACCACTTTTACAAGTAATGTGCCCCTTGCCACAACTGAAAAGAAAACTTTTAAATAAAATCAGTTCATAAAAACAGCAAAGCTAACATGTGATCATTACACTTGATTTTCCCACAGAAATTCATAAACATTTTTTCATACCTTCTGTGACCCTCGAAGATAAGCCAGGAGTGTCCGGCACATGGGTAAAAGGATAAGACTGCAGTTGAGGTTCAGGACAGATGCAGAGGCCCGGCTAAGACACAATCCTACCTGAACAAACAAGACAAGGGTCAAAACAGAGCCAATCACAAGTGAAAAGCAGTGTTGGCCTGCAGCTGCAAGTCTCTCCCTGCTCTCTAAGGACCTTGACAAATGCCAACTCCTCCAAGAATCCATGAGGGTCCCTTTCATCTCACGAAAGCTCCCTAGGGGCAGGGACAATTTTTTTCCGCTCTCAATAGCCACAAAACTGACATTTCTTCTTTTTGCTAATGATATAATCACTTTAATATAGTTTTTTTCTGGGTCAATTTTTTATACTGTCCTAGCTTTAAGAAGCCTGTGGTCTCAGCTCTGTATGCTCTGCAACCCTATGATCAGGAATCTGTATTCACTGGTAAGCTCAGGAGAGTTCTAAAAGGAACCTCATTTGTATTCTCCCCTCTCTCTGGAACTCTCTCCATTTCTACACAGCCTCTTCATTCACACACATTTGTCTCCAAGCTCTTCACCCCAGTAACTCTATTCCTCTTGTAGCCTTATCTTAAATTATATTCCCCTTGAATACCCTCCGGCCTGCTGATTCAGATAACCCAGTGTAACAAGCACTCTCATTACTTTTGGACTGTCATGTCATGTGTTCAACACTCTTCTTTCAAGTCACCTCTTTTTAAATCCTTTTATTTTTACATAACAAATAAGTATGGTACACATTCATTAGATATAATGTGAAATATGTATACAAACACACAATTTAAGATGACCAAGGTACCCTAACAAGGATGCATCATTATCTGCTTCACATCAATACCAGTTCTTTGTACTAAGGTCACTATAATTGCACTCCTTTTGGCATTGTGAAACACATAATAAATTACTGACTTCTAATCACCACATTGCTCAACTGGCGATCAAAGCTTGTTCCTCCCATCTACTAATAATCTTCAACTAATATCTTCCTTCCCCAGTCCACCACTGTACACCCTGATAATTATTATTCTGCCCTCTGACTCTGAATTCAACTACTGTTAGATTCCAAACATAAGTAACATCACAATATTTCTCTTCTGTGTGTGGCTCAATTGACTAAACACACTCTAGGTTAAGAATGTGATTGCAAATTACCAATTTAAATAAGACCATATCTAGTAAAACTGTGATTCACTGATTTAAATATATAGGGTATTGTTGTTTTTTTCTAGTGTGTTTGTGCTTTAGCATTTTTAGGAAATCCATTTCCATTTGATCACTGTTAAAGTATTTCTTTATGCTTTAATAAATGAAGAATTATACAGAATAGATTCTATAGATGTCGGTAAACACAGTTATCTATCTTTATTGGTAATGCACAATTTGGCTACTTTGCATTTATTAACATGAACCCTCCCCGGAAACTTTAGAATGTAATGACTATTAATAATATATCTTCCATATGAGAGAACAACATGTCGTTCTGATATTAAGATTTTAGCCAACAACAGCAACAATAACCAAAACCAACATGGAAGTTACAGAACCAAAATACCAACCTAAGGGCTCTGGCTCAAGTACCTGTGCTATTAACCACTGCACAAACTATCTCTTTAGTTTGGCTTTAAATAAAGGACAGATGCAAATAGAACACAATAAATACTTCACTGACTGATCAATGAAGATTAGAAGTAAGTGGTTTTAGAAAACTTCCCTAGATATCTTCCCTCCTACTAGTGCCTTCCATTCACAAAATGGTTTTTTGTCCCTGTTCTTTATCATTAGAGAAGCCTGAGGTTCAAATTCTGGAGTACTAGAGAAAGACTCAGGACATATTCATTAAAATGGACTAAATGGTATGGTGCAGTTGGAATTTCCAACACACTTTTTTTGTTGATCCATTCAATTCTTGACATATTGTTACCTTTGACTTCCTTTGTTTTCTCCTGTTTCTCTTAGTGCATGCTGACCTCCCTATGAGTACAACCTTTCTAAAATGCCTTTAAGATAGCTTTGCAACAGTTTCTTTTGGAACAGAGTTTTACCTCAGATCAGCTCTATAAGGTAGGCTCTGCCAACTCATAAATGATGAGCTATTACAAAATAAGAGCCACTCAGCCAGGAATTCACAGCTTCAGGGCTTGGGGTAGTATCTGTATACATTTTTTTCCAGATGAATCTAACGATGCAGCCAGAGTTGAGGACCACAATCTTAAGCTACTTAAGTAAGCTGCGTTGCTTATGAGGTAAGAAATAAAGGCAACATTAAATTATAACAACTAAATGTGATGTGTATCCCCAAATGTATGACCAAAGGTAACTTCCAAACTTAATTTTCATAAGAAATATGAAAGTAATTATTTAAAATACACATAAACCAAAAAAGGGACAACAACCTCACCTCTTTAAAGCTGACACAGTATACAATACTGCAGCCGGGACCACTCTCTGATCATCTGATGTAATATGCACTTCAATGAACAAAGATGTTTCAAATTTTGTATAAGAAATTATCCCATGCATTTTGCAGATGATATACTAAAGGATCTGATGAAGTCAAGTAGTTTGCCCAAAGCAACAGAAATGGAAGGAGGTGAATTCTGTACCCAGACTATGTCTTTCCATCTCATTTTAAAAACAGGACAAAGAAAGTAAAGTCATCAAAGACTATGGGAGGAAAACCATGAAATGTACTAAGTTAGCTCTAATAGTTTCATGACCCACATGCAGCATGTCTCAGTTGCTAGTACAACTCACTAGCCAAGATCTTGAATTTCATTTCCTACTAAGCCTGTGTGCTGCACTAAATTCGTGGATTCTGATTTACCACTGTAGTTCTAGCCAGGGCCACCTCCTCTTCAGTTAGCACATTCATAATGGATTTGTGTCTGATTAGGCATCAGACTTGAAGTTTCCCTACGTTGCCTTGATGCTCATAAAGCCATTCAGAGAGGGAAAGAATATCTTTACATCAATTAATCTCTCCTTATACCTGGCTCTCAACCCCAGGATTACATCACTGACTTGTTCCTGTCTACTGTTTCTTCGCACCCTGTTTCTCAGAAGCAAGGTCTGGTATTCACATGAGATCAGTCCTATTCTGGAAGGACTGTGTTTTCCCATCACCTTCAGTAACTTAGAAGCAGTTCTGCACAAAGCCTCTCAACTAGGAGATACTTTCGCTTCAGCCCTTTGAATTCCAGGGTAAAGAATGGACTGAGTGCTATTAGACTTCTGACCTATAGAACTATGCTATAATAAATCTGTGTCATTTAAATCACTCTGTTGGTGGTAAAACAGCAATACAAAACTGACACACAATTACAAGTAAACATTTATTAAGATATCATTCATTGTTTAAGCTGGGTTTTTTTAAAGGTAAATAAGTAAATAAATAAATAAATCAACTTATTCCATGGGAGATATTATCTTTGACTGTGAAATAAATTATTAAAGGGGCAAATATCAAGTCCAGACTTTTATGAGATACCTAGTCACATTGTTTATTAACTAGCTATCAAAAAATTATAAATAACATCAAAGAATGGGACACAAAAGTAGTATGATTAAAAAATATGGAAAACATAAAGTTCATTTTATTTACAGTTTATTTACAGTTCATTTTATTTAGCAACAAAATATTTAAATACATTACTTAAAAAATTTTAAATTAACCAATCTTGAAGCTGCTATGTCTGTAATGAAAAGAATTAGTGAGCCAAAGTTCTAAACCTAAAAGATTCAAAAGTAGCACAAGTAGCTATCACCCCTTGTCTAAGAAGCTTATTTGTGCAGAAGATGGAAATACGGTGTTTGCAGAGATCCTTAACGGTAAAAATGCCAAAAGTACGTAACCATGGGGTATGCAACTACAACTGGTACAACTACAACACACCTAAGGTTCAGGGAACATCACAGAAGAGGGGATATTAAGATTGTACAACACAGAGGACCAGGATGCCTGATGTGAGATAGTGTCTTCTAGACATGAAAAGTGTTCTGCACACGTGAAATCTCAATAATACGAATGCATAAATAAAATATAAATAATGAGCATAAAAGTTGACATGTCAACATAGTTGAGGAAACCTTGCAAGTCCCCACCCCTAGATGAAGAGCTAAAGGCAATCAATGGCTGCAAAAAGAGGAAGAATTAGTCTTTTCCTGGGAAGAGCCTCCAATATTGGTAATCCAATAGATAATCCAATCTCAAGTGGCCCACACATGCATATAAATAACTCTAAATGGACATAGGTTGTATGTGAATAAGAAACAATAATTGCAGAAGTAATAAAGTTGTGAGTGAGTACGTTACACAGAAGTAGTTGGAGAGGGGAGAGAAAGGGTGGAAATTATGTAAACATAGTATCTATATATTATCAAAAATACATTTTTTTACTAAAAATTGCAAAAATAACACTAAGATCCTGCCAAATAAAATACAAAATAGAGATAGAGAGATTGATCAGCAGTTAAAAGCACCTGCTGCTCTTTCAGAGGACTCGACCCAGGTTCAGTTCCCAGCTCCCACATGTTTGCTCACAACCATCCATAACTCCAGTTCTAAGGGACCTGGAGCCTTCATCTGGACTTTGTGGGTATGGAGGACATATGCAGTACATACTACACATACATATAAGTAAAACATATGTATATAATAAAAATATTAAATATTTAGAAATTAGTGACAAATTTGTTACAAAGATAAACCATCATAATTATTTAATATAAAATATAAGCAATTGATCTGCAGTGGCTGGCTACTCATTTAGTATTTCAAAAAGTTAACTGCTTTGCTAAAGGATAGCATAAATATTTTTGGTAAGCAAAAAATATATTTAAATTTTAATACTTAATTTTACATGACCAATGATATTTTAATTGCCATGGAATAAACTTAACATAAAAGTGTAAGAATTGCATATGAAAGCAAACAAGAAGAAGACATAAAAGAAGATGTGAGCAGATGTGTATATTCTATGCTCTTCACGGTAATACTAAATAAATGTAGACGCTCATCTTTAACAAGTTAATTTGTGAACTCAATGAAATGTCGATCAAAATCACAATAGTATTTTTTA